AATCAAATCGTTCTGTGATGTGTGATTGTGGTGGTGGTTTTTTTTTTTCGCAGGGCTGTGAACCAATTGAATGGCCACGAGTTCGAGGGTAGCCCGCTAAAAGTGGAAATGTCTACGGTGGAAAATCGACGAAGAGGCCGCAGCCAGCGCAGCGGCGTCGCTTATTCCGGTGTGTCGGGCGCCGGACGTCAGGCGGACTTCCCGCTTCGTATTCTCGTGCAGTCGGAGATGGTAGGAGCCATAATAGGCCGTCAAGGATCCACTATACGCCAGATCACGCAGATGACGCGCGCGCGGGTGGACGTTCACCGAAAGGACAGCCTCGGCGCCGCGGAGAAAGCTATCACCATTTATGGCAATCCAGAGAATTGTACGAATGCCTGTAAGAAGATCATGGAGGTGACGCAGCAAGAGGCTTACGGTTTGAGCAAAGGGTAAGAGAGAGAGAGAGTGTCCTTTTAACGGTTGAAAGAAATCTCTTTCCTTTGTTTCTAATCAATGTACCGTTTCGCCAACAGTGAGATCTCGCTGAGGATCCTCGCGCACAACAATTTGATCGGGCGGATCATCGGGAAGGGTGGCACCACCATTAAGAAAATCATGCAGGACACAGACACGAAAATCACCGTGAGCAGCATCAACGACATCAACAATTTCAATCTCGAGCGCATCATCACCGTGAAAGGCAGCATCGACAACATGAGCAAAGCCGAGTCCATGATTTCCAGTAAATTGCGCCAAAGCTACGAAAACGACTTGCAGGCAATGGCTGTGAGTATTGCAAATGGGCGATAATTTGCAAGCGTGAGAAGATTAGGTCTTTAACATTAAACCGACACTCCAATATATATATCTGTATATATTACTACCGGTCCTTAAACAAGAAAGTACTATTTTTTACACTTGAACGTAGAGAATAGTCAACTTGGTATCAGCAGCCCTCACAGCAGTCGGAAACTCAATACTAATTTTTGTCCTCTACATTTATTCAAGATGTTCTTCATTATTCGTTAGAGCCTCCAGAAAGGGATTCCAATTCGGATATGTCAAATAAGTCACCATCTTTTTCCATTTTATTTTCCGTTTCAGAAAGTTTCTGTTCATCGACATCCAAACACTCCTTGTCTATGTTAATTATTTTTTTTTCCTAATAATCTTATATTTATAATACACTAAATATATAAAAATTTCAAGGTATTTAGTATTTCAAAGTATTGCGGATTTACTTTTTCTTTCTTCAAATTTGCACTTATAACTGGAAATACAAAGATGCTCTCTCCTAGAGTTATAAAATTCCACTGTGTCACCCAAATCTGCTTATCAACCATCTCTCATTCAGATAGCTTTCTTCGTCAACCGATTGTACAGTTTTAGAAGAGTAAATGTCACAAGTTTTTTTTTTTTTTTTTTTTTTTTTCGAAAAAAGAAAATAAAAGGACAAGTAAATACTGAAAAATTCATTGTATATATGTCAGGAAAAGTCGTAAAGACAAATAGAGCTGTGTAATGACGTTATATGTAGAAAATCGTTTCAAATTTTGAAAACTGTGAATTCGATCTGTATTGGTAGGTTTAATTCAAAGAAATTCTCCTCTTCAAGGCACACGATTTTAAAGAAAATGAAAACCCAAGTTGCACAGAACTTTTTTTAATATAAAAAAAATGGAACTTAATAAAAACTTTTCGAAGTGGGTTAAAATATATCCGACCATGCATAAAAAGCTAAGGACATTTTTTGACCCACCTCTAACCCCAAGGATCAAACTCTCGCGATAATAACGAAATGACGACGCTTTACAGCCGCAAAGCTTGATGTTCCCTGGCTTGCATCCAATGGCTATGATGTCCACCGCTGGCATGGGATACAGCTCGCGTGGCCCCGGTTTGTACGGTTCCGGACCAGCCCCGTACCCCTACCAAGCCAGCTTGCCGACGCAACAGGGTATTCCGATTGGCGACACTCAAGAAACCGCGTACCTTTACATTCCAAACACCAGCGTAGGCGCTATCATAGGAAGCAAGGGCTCCCACATCAGAAACATCATCAGATTCTCTGGCGCCAGCGTGAAGATCGCGCCGATCGAACAGGATAAGCCGGTAGAGCAGCAAAATGACAGGAAAGTGACTATCGTTGGATCACCAGAATCACAGTGGAAGGTGAATTTTCTTCAAAAACGACGGTCGAACCTCTTTCCCTCCCGTTCATATCCAATTTTTAACACTTTGTTTGAATGCCATGACGAATGGGGGACTACTATGAATGGTACCCCATAATTGGTAGAAACACGTAATTCGACAGAATTAATTCTGCCAAATTTTTCAATATTACCTTTGTTACTACAATGGCGCGAAGAAATTAACGCAGTATAAATAAATAGTTTTATTTATATTATTCGCTCATGCACTGTAAACAAAAAAAAAAAGTGAATTAGTACAATTTTTGCAATATGCAAAATATTATAATATGCAATATGCAACTTTTTGGTACAGTGTTTTGCTTTAGTTCTATCTATCTTCGAATTCTTT